GGGAAGGGTGTACACCAGGAATGTGTCCTGTCTTCATGCCTTTTCAGTCTATATGCAGAACAGATCATTGGGGAGGCTGGGCTCTGTGAGGAGAAATGTGGCATCAGCATTGGAGGAAAACTCATCAACAATCTGCGTTATGCAGATGACACAACTCTGCTTGCTGAAACTGAAGAGGATCTGAAGCACTTACTGCAGAAGGTCAAGGACTGCAGCCTTCAATATGGATTGAAGCTCAACATCAAGAAGACAAAGGTTCTCACCACAGGGCCAAGATTGTTAACAGCTTCAGTTTGCTTGCCTCCACAGTCAACACTCCTGGTACCAGCAGCCAGGAGATTAAAAGATTAATTGCATAGGGAAGGTCTGCTGTCAGAGATCTCTCCAGAGTACTGATGAACATTGATGTCAGTCTGGAGACTAAGGTGCGTCTGATCCAAGCCAGAGTCTTTGCAGTTACTTGCTATGCGTCAGAAAGCAGGACAATGACTAAGGATGAAGGAGAATTGATGCCTTTGAGCTGTGGTTCTGGAGAAGGGACTTGGACTGCTAGGAGAACAAACAGTTTCATCCTGGAGAGGGTGAAACCAGGCTGCTCCTTGGAAACAAGGGTTCTAAAGCTTCGTCTGACATACTTTGGGCATGTTTTAAGGAGGAACCAGTCCTTGGAGAGGGATGCCATGCTTGGGAGGGACAGGAGAGGAAAACCCTTGATGATATGAATTGATTCAGTGACTAGGGTAATAGAGTAGGTGTATCCGAGGCAATAAAATTGGCATAGGGTAGAACAGGATTTAGGGCTGTTGTCCATAGGGTCACTGTGAGTCACAAGCAACTCGATGGCACATAACAACAATAACAAAGCTCTTTAGGTAGAGATGGCCATGTCAGGTACAGAGTACCACATCACAGCAAATTGTGCTATGTGCAGTTTCTAGGGTGTGAACCACGTAAGAGTATAAGTTCAACAGAATATAGAGAGTGAATGGTAGTAATAGAAAGACCCCACTGTTTATGCACTGTGTCCTGCTTTGTACTGATGAATCAACATATGCTTCAAGTGTAGTGTGTACCCCTGATTGCATATGACTGTTTGAACCATCAGGAAGTAATGGATAAAATCACTTTCATGATTTCAGTTTTTTATTATGTTGAAAATGTAAGCAGCAAAACATACAACCTCTCAACAAATTCTTCACTTATTTGAATAAAAGACAATCTTACCAGAACCTGTCGCTATTTTATATTTAAGTCTCTAATCAGCTTTCCAATTCTAAGAGAATTCTTAAAATGTTTTAAAATTAAGTTCTGAATGTTCTGAATTACTAAATTCATATTAGTTTGTATCAAGAAATACCTTTATTAAAAAATAAGTTCAGCCTATTTGTGTGCTTCTGTTTCAAGAGTTTCCATCTATGCTGTTGGTTTTTAATTCCTCTGCCAACACCACTCTATCTAATTACTGTAACTGTATAGTAAATCTTAACACATTAGAGTCATTTTCTTTAGAAATAAATTGAAGACTTCCTTATCCATTAACTAGAGTTAGGCACTTTGTACTATAGAAAATGAGAAGAGTATGTTTATAGACGAGAAAGAGTGGCAGAAGACAGTGAACCCATTAGAACGCTACTAATTAACGGAAAGGTGACCAGAAATTATTTTGCACATTCCTTTTCTTGGTTAGCATGGGAAGGTTAAGCTTACATTAATGACTTGCTGAAGGGTTAGAAAGTGATACAGATTAAACCTAAGAGAGAATTTTCTTTTTTAATATTTTTTTTCCTGCCAAGTATCAAGGAATTAGAAAACACTCTTGGTCATTTAATAGCAGTTTGTGGTTACAGTGGGGTGTGACTTTCTTTTTTACAAAATCTTTCTGTTTTATTTTTTACAGATACATCACAGGTGAACGTGATAAGTGTGGCCTCAAGGTACATCTTGCGTCTTGTTGATACTTAGTTTTAGTAGATTGTTCATTTTAACAAAGTAGAATATTTTCCAGAAACCGAGAAATTTTGTTTGGTGCTTTGCTGTTTTTATTTTTTCTTTTTGAAGAAGAAAAAAAAGTACTTAAAGATTTTTATTTTTTTTTTTTAATGCTGAATAATTGTAATGCTTGAGAAGATTACCTTATTTTTTTTTTTAAAAATTAATGTCAAAGCCAATTCTAGACAGTTTTTCCTTGGTCAAATAAAAATTTTTTAAAACCTTACTGTTGAGTTTTTAACTGAGAGGTCTAATTAGATAATCTTTAGTTGAACTGTTTCTGTCTGTTAAAAGTTCAGGCAAACACTGTTAGGTTATGTTGTGTGGGAAAATGTCCAGCACCCTCTAAAACCCGTTGTTAACTGTTATTGACGTTGAGTCGACGCCAACTCATGGTGACCTCATTCTTAAAATCTCCTGAATTCTCCTGCCTTAACTGTGGTAGGCTACTTCCTACTTTACTTTTTTTGTTTTACTTTTTTAAATGTTATTTATTTTGCTGTTCTGCAGACACTTGAATGTGCAGGTGTTCTTTCTATAACTTGAACCATTTCTGTGCCTCCAGCTGCTGTATCTTATTTCAGAGTAGATGATCCAGTGTAGCGTGTGTGTGTGTGTGTGAAGCAATCGATAAAATTGTCATTGTAAGTTATTAATTCAGGAAAATAGCTGCTATTTATATCAAGAGACAAAGTTTTGAGAGAGCAGATGAGAAGTATTCAGTGTGCCAGAGTATACTGGGAAACATGACAAGTTAAAAGGGAAACATATTTTTCCTCTAACAAAAGCTTTCAGCACTGAGATTAGAGAATGTTTGTGCTTAGAGGTGCATACCTGGGGCTCTGTACTGAATGTCTCAGAACTGCTTCATAAATGGAGCCATTTCTTTCACATATTAATTCATCAAGGTGAGCTCTGAGCCACGCTGTGGGCAGAGCTGCAAGTAATGACTGAGAGGCAGCAGTGTAGCTGATGGGGCTGGGCAGTGGGACACAGAACGGCATGGGCCCAGCACACAAGACACCACCTATAGCTTGTGCCACCAGTGGTGCACTTTGTATTCTGGTGAATTTGATCTTGTGAATAAGTAAAAAGCATTTGCTGTGTGTTAAATCTCTCTATCCTGTGAGACAAGGGTTATTTTTCCCTGTGCATGTGGAGAAACAAGCATGCTCCAGAAGACAATGTGATTTCTCCGGGGTCGAATGCATAGCTTCAAAATATCAGCCAAACTAAGGTGTCTGGATTTCAGATCAGGTCGCCTTTATGGCACCGTTCTAGAAGCCGCTGCAGCTAGTGGTTTGTTTTTACCCCTTCCATCTGCTTTCTTCTCCGTGCCCCTCTCCACCCCCCACTGCCTCCCCATGCTCCACACCAGAGGGTTGCCGCTTGTGTGGCACGAGCAAGCGTGCAGCAGTGAGGAGCGCTGTCTTCCCGCAAGCCACAGATGCTCGTCTGCATATATTCTGGCTAAGGGTTCCTTGTTAAGAGTTTTGAAAAAGCCCTCCCATGCCTCATATGGAGAGCAGTGAAGGGCTAGAGAGCAAGAGTTAGATGAAAAACTCATTAAGATATTTGGCATGCATCCTGTTATGTGTTAGCTCTTGGGGATCCAGTGATAAACCAGACACGATTGCTGGGCAGTATAGATGTGGTGGTGCTACATGCAGTCAAGTCAGAACCAACTCATAGCTGACTCTCCAGTGGGTTTTTAGTGGCTGTAAATCACACCGGAGGGGATTGCCCATCCTTTTCATATGGAGCAGTTGAAGGATTCAAACCAGTTGCCTTTGAGTTGGCAGTGCAGCTCCTTACAGCTCCTCCATCAGTTGTAATTTCAGTTATAGTAGTGTGAGTGCTATGGAGAAGCACAGGGTATTTTAAAGAGTTCAGTTGGGGAAGTCTTGCCACGGCACACCTGTCTCTGAGGAAAGAGTGGGAAAGGAAGTGGAGGGAGTGCTCATAGTACAGTGGTTAAGACTTGACTGTAACCCAAAGGGTGGCATTTTTAACCCACCAGCTGCTGCCCAAGAGAATGTTTTCTCTAAAGATTATAATGTACTGTTGAGTTGGAACTGACTCACAGTTGATTCTTCAGTGTGTTTTAAGGAGCTTTAAGTCACATGGGAAGAAATTGCCCATCTTTCTCCCATGGTGGATTTGAACCACCTACCTTTGGCTTGACAGTGCAGTTCTTTACCCACTAGGCCACCAGAATTCCTTGTAAAAATTGTAGTTAAGTGCGATGGAGTCAACCATGACTCATAGTGACCCCATGAAGAATGGATCTGAACCCTACCCTGTCCTGTGCCATCTTGTCCGACATCAGGCCCACTGTTATAGTCTCTGACATTTCATCTCGTTCAGAGTCTTCTCCTCCTTTACTGCTCCTCAGACTTACTAAGCATGGTGCCTTTTTCCAAGGACTGGCCTCACCTGACAGCATGCCCCAAATATGTGACGCGAAGTTTCACTATCCTACTATCTCCTATAATAGGGTCACCATTGAGTCTGAATCTGCACAGCACACAACAACGAGGATAACATGGAGAGAGCCACGTGCCTTCTCAGGCTCTCTTTGTCAGCAGCCTCTTGCCTTCTTGGGTCTGTTCTTGGCTGACTAATTAATACTTGGAAAGCAGCAGAGCCCTGAAGACTTCAGATATCACTGTCCAGTATGTCCATCCCAACCCAGGTTCTGAGGGCCTTAGAGAGTCAAGATCTTTGCATATGTCACACAAATAGGTTTTGAGGAACCTTGAGTTCATCTAGTCTGCTGCCTCATCTCATACTTGGGACTTGTCATGCCTAACCTAGCATCACACAGGAGGTGGTATGCAGAACCAGAATCCAGGTGAGGTGGAATGAGGGCCAGCGCGCCAGTCGGCTGGATAACATGAGGCCACAGCATGCAGGTGGTGCTTAAATGACAGGTTGAGCCAGCTGAGGCTTGAGCGACTGACAGGGGATTAAATACAGAGAAGCAGGAGGCTGGGCTTCATCAGCACAGTCTAGTAGAAAGCGACGTGCTTTGGCATTGAAATGCCATTGCAGATCTTCAGACTCCCAGGTTTTTCCAGAGAAAAACAAGGGTGTACAAATTGGTAAAGCTGACAGCTGAATGTGTATAGATGCTGAGAAATGTCCACGTTGAAAAATGACAACTTTGAGTTTTCATAGTCTAATAGAACACCGATCTTCCTTGGCGAAACCGTTACTCTTATATCTGGAGTCGTCTTGTTGTGTAGGAATTCATACTTATGTCTGAAAATCAAATATTGACAGAACAAAGCTTCAGAAATTCTGTAGATAGTTCACACTTTATAGCACAGTTCATACTGGTTTTATTCAGATACTTCTATGATTGTGTTACTTTACTAAATGACTACCAAAATATAGGACATTTCTATAACCATACTGTGAATTCACTTATTTTCTAAAATTTCTCCTCAGAAATGCACATTTTAAATTCATTTTGTTCTTGAGTAACATTTTAACCTAAGAAACTTTTATCAGTATCAGAAATGCATGTTGCATCAAAATTTGCACAGAACTAGGATAAATTTTAAACATAGAGATCCCAGTGCTCATTTTTGTAAGACATTTGTAATAAAGACATTGGGAACAAACAGGGGAAAAACCCCAAATGGGTCTTTTGAGACAAGCTGTTCTGCATACAGACCTTTTAAAGGGACCCAGTCTTGGACTTTTAAGTGACTGGGCAGGGGTCCAGCGGACCTGTCTTCATACAGCATTGGGTGCTGGCAGTAACCTTTAACCATACTCTCTATGCCATGCACTTTGAAAAATGGCTGAAACCAAAACTAGATATTTCCCAACCTACCTACAGACTGTCCACAGACTGATCTAAACACATGTGTCCCAGCATGTGCCTGTCTCTATCCCAGGGCATCTGATTATATCTTCTTTTCTAACCTGAGCAGCCACTAGGAGCTAAATGGTGCCTTCCCTATCCCCACCAACAGAAATTGAGACCATGAACCAAAAAAAATATAGGAACCCTTCATTCCCTTTCCATTCCTCAGGCTGGCATATTCTTCACTTTGCCAAGATACAGCTGCACGAAACCCTTGACCTGTTTCTTTGCTCTTTTTCCTTCTTTGCTACTCTTGCTCTTTGAAAGAAAAAGAGCCTTTAATTTTACCATTATCTCAGGGAGGTTCCCCACATAAAAGATGTACCTCAATAAACAGTGCTATCTTCTGTTCTGTAAATGGCATTGAAGGTTTATAGTTTAATTATCTTATGGAAGGAAAACTGGCCTTCCCGCTTATCTTAGAGATGAGAAACGATGATGGAGGATCATGAACACAAAATACTGCAGATAAAGCATTAAAAGGATTGATATAGCAAGCATCCCAGGCTCCAAAACATTAGGGAAAGGGGGAAGGTAGAGCTGGAAAAGCAGTGTTGTTTTTAGTGTTTCTTCCATACTAAGAAGGATTCTAAGGATGGCCTTCTGCAGCTGAAAAAGTTGTCCATTGGTGTGGGCATCATGACATTTTTTCCCAGCCTTAATGGATCTGCTCTAGAACAGTGCCCATGTGTGAAGTCAGAGTGCTGAGCAGTAGAGGCAAACCAAAATTAAACATAGCCTCTTGGCCACATTTATCTGAAGGAAAGAAATTAGGCCTTCAAGTCAGATTTCCATTAAAGTCAAGTACTGCCAGGAACACAAAGAGGTTCATCCTGGAGAGGGTTAAACCAGGCTGCTCCTTGGAGGCAAGGATTCTGAGGCTTTGTCTGACATACTCTGGACATGTTGTAAAGAGGGACCGGTTCTTGGAGAGGGACATCATGCTTGGGAGGGTGGAGGGACAGCACAGGAGGGGAAGACCCTCTATGAGGTAGATTGATTCAGTGACTGGAGTAATTGGGATGGGTGTGTAGAGGCAGTGCGATTGGCACAGGATAGAGCAGGGTTTAGGGCTGTTGTACATAGGGTTGCTATGAGTCGCAAGTGACTCGACGGCACATAACAACAACAAAACAATATCCATTTAATAATACTGAAGCTGAGCATAAGTGGAAAAAAAATCAGTTAGTGGTTATGAATATTGTCTTTGAAGGCAGACTCTCCCAGTTTGAATCCAAGCTCTGAATCCTTTATTGAGTGAGTTACCTAACTCTTGTGAGCTGTAGCTTGCTTATTTTTAAAGTCAGATGTTACAGTTGTGAGAAGTAAGAGATCATGCACATAACAGTGTGTAGCACATTGCAAGCTCTCCATAAATCTTACCTATTTTTATCCCAAATAAAAGTAGCCCAGAGCTATTTTCTCATCTGAACTTTAAGGGAAAGTGGCTGGAAACACGTCTTGAAATACCTTACAGTGTTGTGTGAGACTGTATGGGCCTTCATTATTCTCAGTGAACATCTCTTGTGTAAATCTCTGAGGAGTGATATTTTATGTTGGGTCCACAGATGTTGCTTTACCTTGCTGATGTAAATGTGTGCCTCATGCACCACGAGTGGCAGTTTCCACCCAGGTCCTCCTGTTTAGGGACATCGTCAAAGGCCACGCCAAGTGTGTAGTCCAAACGCTCATCCACTTCAACTTCCCAGTAATGGCGCCCTGGGACTGGAATTAGTTTTCCCATGACAGCAACACACCTGGATTTAGAAAATGGGATTTAGTGTGATTTGGGGTAACCTGAGCCTGGCTGTGCAGGTAAGTGGCATCAAGTGCTGGGCCAGTCAACAGGTCATCTACAGACTTGCGGGTAGGTGCTTCCGAACACTGTTCACTTGCAAAGCTGAAAGCTCAGCTCTCAGAGATCACCTAACCAGTATCTAAGACTGGAAGAGAATTCCTACACTATTTAGTAACGGGATGGGAGGAGACAGCCAATAGAAAAGGCTCTATTTGCTTCTTAAAAAGTTATTGGAGCTGTTACAGGAACAAAAGTAGAGGTTTGGTTCACTTGTTCCTGTTTAACACTTAGAGAATGCCACACAGTCAGAGAACCCTCAGCCCTGAAGTTCGTGATCTGGCCAGTCCTCGTGTAGCATATAGAATTGGCATGGAGGAAGGTTCGCTCAGGTAACATTTCAACCAGGATGACTCCAGACAGAGGACAAGAACTCAGATTCCATAGGAAGTTGCACAAGAGCAAAACAGCAAATTCCTCACTCACAAATCATCAAAGCCTAACTTCAGAACTCAGTATAGAACAATTATAAAGGTCAGGGTTTTTTCTATAGCGATAAAGCCCTCTATCAATGCAAGTTTTAATTAGGGAGTAGATCACATCAGTATCATCAAAGGTGAGGAGCCTCCTATATTAGCTAAACTTAACATAAATCCCTGTAGATTTAGCTCAGCTGTCTTCAAAGTATTCTCTCTACCTAAAACACTCCACATTCTCAGTGCTGAAGTTTTGGGAAGGAGGCCTGTGGTCATGGCTGCGAGAAAGTCGTTAAATCTCAGTAACTCTCCTGAGGGTCAAACAAGTCTAGGAAGGGTCTGCAGGGCCCGAAAGAAGCCTGCTCTGAGGGTTGCTGATATGCCTCTGACCCATAATGATGTGTTACTTTTTTAAAAAAACAACGTTTGTTTGTTGTTATGTGCCGTTGAGTCACCTGCGACTCATAGCGACCCTATGTACAACAGCCCTAAACTCCGTTCTGTCCTGTGCCAATCGCACTGTCTCTGACACTCCCATCCCAATTATCCCAGTCACTGAATCAATCCACCTCATAGAGGGCCTTCCTCTCCTGCGCCGTCCCTCCACCCTCCCAAGCATGATGTCCCTCTCTAAGGACCGGTCTCTCCTCACTACATGTCCAGTGTAAGTTAGACGGAGCCTTAGAATCCTTGCCTCCAAGGAGCCACCCGGTTTAACCCTCTCCAGGACAAATCTGTTTTCCTAGCAGTCCATGGTATTCTCAATACTCTTCTCCAGCACCACAGCTCAAAGGCATCAATCTGCTTCTATCCTCCTTGGTCATTGTCCAGCTCTCTGATGCATAACAGGTGACTGTGAAGACCATGGCCTGTATCAGACGCACCTTAGTCTCCAGAGAGACACCACTGCTCTTCAGCACTTTGGAGAGGTCCCTAACAGCAGACTTTCCCATGGCAATGCGCCTTTTAATTTCCTGGCTGCTGGTGCCAAGACTGTTGACTACAGAGCCAAGCAAACTAAAGCTGTGTACAATCTCAATCTCTTCACCATCCATCCATCTTCTTGACATTGAGCCTCAATCCATATTGTAGGCTGCAGTCCTTGACACTCTGCAGCAGGCACTTCAGGTCCTCCTCAGTTTCAACAGGCAGGGTTGTGTCATCCGCATAACGCAGATTGTTGATAAATCGTCCACCAATCTTGACCCCACATTTCTCCTCATAGAGCCCAGCCTCCCGGATAATCTGTTCTGCATATAGGTTGAAAAGGTATGGAGATAGGATGCATCCCTGGCATATGCCCTTCCCAATTTTGAACCATGCAGTGTTCCCTTGCTCTGTTCTGACGACTGCCTCCTGGTCCAAGTATAAGTTTCGCATTAGAACGATCAAGTGTTCTGGGATTCCCATTCTTCTCAGAGTCAGCCACAGTTTGTTATGATCTACACAGTCAAATGCCTATTTTTTATTGTGCCTTTAAGTAAAGTTTACAGAAAAGTTGGATTTTCATTCATTCATTATTGCACACTTTCCTCCCTACCCCCTCCAGTTCACTAAAAAAAAAAAAATATTCATTCACTTAGTTATATTTTAAAATAAAGCAGATGTGCGGACTCAGTCCCAGGTGGGTCTGAATTGTCCCTATCAGGTTCGTTGTATAAATTGTGGCACATTAGTTAATACCTCCAGCTTGGTTTTCTCATCCATCAAATGAAGCTACTTCTATTCCAGGACACACATTTCCATAGATTATTTCCAGTTTGGAGTGTCCTATACTGAAATCTTCTCACACACATACCAGTTTGTGTTTGGGATGGAGGAGGTTGGCAGGGCTTGCCCATCCCCATTCTGGTTAACTGACTCATCAAAGGCAGAAAACTAGGATACTACAGTGGTTCTAAGTTCAGGTTCTAGTTTATCCCAGCACTAAACCTTAGCACTGTCTCCTTGGGCAAGTGACTTAACCTCTTTCTACATCATGGAGAGCACCGGTGGGTGCCCTAGTCAGTAGGGAGCTGTGTGGCAAACCCAAAGGGGCTGCCTTGCTGGCAGTTTAACTCCACCAGTATCTCCATGGTAGAAAGATGAGCAAGCTCCCATGCAATTTACAGCCTCAAAAACCCAGTGGATGTTCAGCTGTGTGTCAATTTCAACTCAATGGCAGTAAAAGAGAGTTAAGTACCAACTATTGGAGTACTGTGAAAATTAAATAGTCGACATAATACTCTCCAATATGTAGTGTGAGTCCGCTCCTCATCTCCGTCTGGCTGCCTCATCTAGTTGGATTTATGTCCTAAATCTTGAACTCATCTGTGCCTCTCATCCATGTTGTTTTTGTTAGGTGCTGTTGAGCAAGTACAACTCCAAACAACCCTATGAATAACAGATGTGACTCCTGCCCTATTTTATGCCATTCTCATCATCTCACACACACTTCACCCATTGCTGCAGTCACTGTGTCAGTCCATCTCATTGGTGGTCCTCCTCTCTTTCACTGACCTTTCCAAGCGCGATGCCCCTTTCTAACCAATAGTCTCTGCTAGCAACATGTCTGAAGTATGAAAAATGAAACTTTACCATCCTTGCCTCCGAGGAAGACTTTGGCCACACTTTTTCTGGAACCTCTATCTGGGTTTTTTTGCCTTTTAGAGGATATTCCATACTCTTTTCCAACACCACAGCTCAAAGGCATCAGTTATTCTGTTATCCTTATTCATTGCCCAGCTCAATTTAGTCAGTTTCCATCTTCTCTGCACACCCCTCTCCCTGATCTCCTTGCTTCTCAACTGTCTGTCTTTTGTTTTTTTTAAGAAAATACAGCTAATATTTTATTGTTAGGTTTGATCACTATGATTTTTTCTGTTATTTATAATTTTCATTTTCTACTGGTTTTCATGTAAAATTTGTATGCATTGTGCAACTTTCATGCACTTGCCGTTTCACATATTTATTCACACTGTGTTTCATATGATCATTCCCATATTTTGTGTTTTATAAAATCAATTAGCACCCACCTTTGTCCACTGTTAGCCCATCTTTTCAGGTCTCCATGCATGTTTCCTGATTCCTGATCCCCTTCTTCCACCACCAAATTCTCACCTCATGATTTAACCCTCTCTAACCTCTGCACCCCTACCCTTGTTCCCCTTTAGGATCCTTGTACACTTAATAATCCTTCTCTTTTTACGATAATGGTCTTATGCAGTATTTGTCCTTATGATACTGAGTTAGTTCACTCAGCATGAAGTTCTCTGGCCTCTCCTGTGTTCTATAATATTTAGAAATACTCGCTCCTGAGTGCTACATACGTTTCCTCCCTTCCCAGCTCACATGTCACCTTTTGATGTGATCTTTCTGAAATTTAAATCTGATTATGTCATTCACCTGTTTTAATCCTCCAATAATTAGCACCATGTGAAGGATAAACTCCAAACCGGTTTCCACAGGACCTTCTCCATCTTTCTTATCTAAATTTTCATCTCTTCCCCAGATATATTAAGCTTTCCAAAGCTCTCCAAACTGACCATCTTCTTGGTTTCTTTCTTTTGTCCATGCTGCTTTTTCTGCCCAGGATGCCTTTATCCATCTTGCTGTCCTAGGTAATTCTTATTTCTACCTTGAGACCTAGCCTCTCCAGGAGACCTTCCTCTTTGGGGTTCCTACAGTGCCCATCCCCTATCTTTGTTGTGTGTATTGTTGACCCATGTATCTCCCTTCCCCCCCTGTTCATTCATTGTTGCACTTTTCTCCCTGACCACCCCTCTCCCACTTATCTCCCTTTCTTTACTCTGAGCATCAGGTGTGTAGGGAGTGCCTCTTCCTCTCCCTGCCCCAGCACACAGCACAGTGCTTCACAGCAGAATGCAAGTATTGGTAGCAAGTTATTAAAATTGCCTAGTGGCAAGAAGCTGCACTGCAGTCCCAGAGGCACACAGTTCAAGGCCACCAGCTGCTCCACAGAAGGATGGGCAGTCTCCACCTGAGCAATTAACCACCTCTGAAAACCCACCGGAAGGTCTGCTGTGGGTCAGCTCTGACTGTGGTACACAACAACAACAACTCCGCTTGGGGAAACCTCACAAGGTCAAGAAATAAGTGGCAAAACATAAAAACGAAACCTATTGGTACTGACTCAGAGACCCTTTAAGACAAAGCAGAATTACCTCACAGGGTTTCTGAGGCCGCCATAAATCTATGCAAGCAGAGCGCCTCATCTTCCTCCCAAGTAGGCTCAAACCACTAGCCTTTTAATAAGTTGTTGTTGTGTACCCTCCCATAGGCATACTGTCCCAGGGTTTGAGGGGGATCCTGTGAGAGTCAGGGAGACCTCAGTAGAGAAAGGGGTGAGGGGTATGCTGGATGCAGAGGCTGTTGAGCTACAAGAGGCCACCATAGGGAAAGGACTGTCTGTAGCAAGGAAAGAAGGAATCCTGGGAGAAGTGCATCCAGAGTACTCCTGTATAGGCAGGGACGGTGAAGCTTGGTCCCATCACTCTGGGCATATTTTCAGAAGGAACCAGTTCTTAGAAAATGGCATTATGTTTGGTGGGTAGAGGGTCAGCGGAAGAGGAAGACCATCCATGAGATGGACTGGCACAGTGATTACCACAGTTGGCTTGACCATGACACACCATGAGGATAGTGTGGGATAGGGAAGGTTCAGATCTGTTGTTCATACAGTTGCTATGAGACACAGGTAACTAAAGGGCAACAATAATCACGGTAACAGCTGCAGCCAGCAGGACCTAGAAGGAGAACTCGTGAGGAACCCACAAAGGAAGATAAAGAGTCTGCTTTAAACATCTGCGTTGATAACAGTAATATAAGACCCACATTGCCATTAATTTCTCTCCTCCACTAACCTCCTCCCCATTCTAGGTTGAATGGGCAAAGGGGAGAAAAGGTATCATAATTCCCGCTATAGTCCTGTGCTGCTTCATCCTAGCCTTCACATAGAGTAGGTCCCTAACACGAGCAGTGAAAAGGCCAGCCAGGAAGCCAGGGTCAGTGGAGGGGGCAGTCAGTCCATGATCCAGGCAGGGTGACCACACGAGCCTTCTGTCAGTGGCACTTCTGGCCTCCACTCTGCATGTCCCTTTTCTTCCTTAGATAATCCTTTTGACTCTAAAATCAATATACCAAACTATAGTGACATAGTCCATAGAGACATCCACTGCTAACCCAAAGGTGGAAGGTTTGAATCCACCAGCAGCTCCTTAGGAGAAAGATGGGCAGTCTCATCCCATGTGATTTACAGCCTCTGAAAACCCTGGAGTGTCAGCTATGAGTCAGTTCCAGCTTGACAGCAATGAGTGACCAGGAAGTGGACAGCCAATTGGAATGTGCATCTTGGAATATGGATTGGAGTTAACATGCCTATGCTCCCCTCCCCTTGTTTTGATTTTTCTATTTTGATATTGTATATTTACCTCTTAGTCTAAGTCATCTTTGGAAAGAAGTAAGGTATGCATCAATCTTTTCAACATTCATTGATTGATTGATTGACAGGTTCTAGCAGCAATGACTATAGCAATGGGCTTGAGCATATCAGAGATCTTGAGGATGTTGCAGGATAGGGAAGGGTTCAGATCTGTTGTTCATAGGGTAGCTATGAGTCATGGTCGACTCGATGGTACATGAAGTAACAACAAGAAGCAGTAGCTGGAGAGGTACACAATTAGAGAGGTACATAGCCAGCTAATATCTTCCTTAGGCTCACATACAATGATGGGTTTAGCCATCAGCTTTCGCTCACTCTTGTTAGATTTTCCTAAACAGTCTTCTCTATAGGGAACTGTAGAGGAACAATTGCTAAAAACCTGCGTCCTTGTTTCTATTCTTTTGCAACTTGACAGCTGACCTAATTCCACTGCTTCATGACTTCTCAAACGCCCCCAGCTCTGGGAACCAGCTCATTCTCCAGAGGGACCACGCTGTGGTGGGCTCCTGCCCGCACAGTGTCTTCTGCATGTCCTTTGACCTCCTCTTCCCAACAGCCCCTATCTTATTTAGTCCTGGGATTCTTTGTTTGCTTTAGAGAACTCTGGGGGTTTGGACTACTAACCAAAAGGTTGATGGTTTGAACCCAGTCACCTCTGTATGAGAGAGATGTGGGAGGCTCCTTCCCTAAGGACAGCCGTGGAAGCCTAAGGCAGTCCTGCTCTGTCCTGAGGGACACTGTGAGTCCACTCAATGGCGGTCAGTTTGGGGTTAGATTTCATTCACTGTATCTGTTTGCAGTAACTTTTATTTTTCTTGACCAACAGTGTGTTTTAGAAACCCACAGCCTGTTCTTGTGGGCAGGTGCGAAAGTACCTGGTAAACCGGGTGTTGCTTGCAGGCAGCTGTCTTGCTGGGGTTTTCCTTTCACTTCGCACAACTGTAAACCCATCTTCAGAAATGGTCAGCCCGGGATGGCAGGTGTCCTTGTCCAGGTGGAAATAGCTGCCTGGAAGGGGAGGAAATACACAGCAGATCCAGCAGCCAGTTATTTTGCTGCTTTCTGAGCATTCCCGTTCTGTGTGGGCAGAAGGCAGTCAGTGGCTAGTGACCCTGCTGGGATGTGATGCTCAGGAACCTGGCCCTTGCATAATAATAACTATGTTAATGATAATGACACAGAACTCAATATGTAACCACCACTGTGCTACAGGAGCTCTGGTGGCTTGGTGGTTAAAGCACTTGGTTGCTAACCGAGAGGTTGACCTTTAAAACCTGCCAGTTGTGGGACAAAGACGTGATAGACTGTAGTTTTAGAAATTCTTTGTTTGGGTGACTTTGGGGTTTCTTTGGTTTTTTCTTTGCTAAGCAACTTGCTAGTCTTGTTCAGTCTTCACCCTTGAGGAACAGATATTATTTCCATTTTCTAGATGAGCAGACCAAGGCACAGGGTGATTATGAAATTAGCTGGTGAACGACAGCACTCAGATTTGAACCTCAGGCTCCTCTGATTCCAGAAGCTGTGTTCTTACATTCTGTGCAAAAAGTGCCTGCACATGCACTACCTGCATAACCTACCTGCAGAGGAACAAGAGAAGGAGAAATCCACAAACTTCCCGATTGCCAATTTAACAGGAATTAGCAAATTCAGCTTTCAATTAAGGCAACAGGAGAGGGGAAACCTCCATTCCAACTGGCCGTGGCCCAGCGGGATGGAGTGGATCTGCCTGGAGGAGTTTCCAAGGCTGTAACTGTGGGAGGGAGCTGTGGTGGCCTCCCATGTACAGAGCTGCTGCACTCGTAACCCCAAGGCCACGCCTCTCTGACCCTTTAAATTCCCCTGCAGCTCCTTGGGAGAAAGACGGGGAAATTCCCCGTCCAAGGAATTTACAGCCTCTGAAACCTGAAGAGTCAGTCCTGAACGGACTGCGATGAGCTTGAGTGGACTCTTCAGGCAGACAGACTGGCTGCCACACCTTTCTCCCAGGGACCATTTTTAGTAGCACCTCAGTTCTTAACCCATGTGACACCAGGGCTCTGTTTAGGCATTGCCAAATTATAGTTCAAACATAACTTATCAAAAAGTGATACAGAATAGATCTAATAAAAAAATTACTTAACAACAACAAAATCCATTGTTTGAGAACCTCAGCGACCTCTTGCTGTGGTTGTGACTCACAGTGACACTGTGGGACAGAGTGGAACCGACCACCAGCTTCCCATGTCTGCCACCTTCGCAGAAGCAGATCACCACATCGTTTCCCACAGAGCAGCTTGTGGGTTTGAACAGCTGACCTTGCAGTTAGCAGCCCAGCACTTAACCACTGGGTCGCCAGAGCTCCTTCTTTTTTTTTTAAATTAATTTTAATGAAAGTTTATAGAGACTTAAGGTTTCTAGTCATTCATTGTTGCATTTTTCTCCCTGCCTGCCCCTCCCCACCAAATCACTCTTCTCCTTGAAAAGAAAATCTCTTTCATTGTTATGCAGTCCCTGCTCCCAAGTTCACTCCACTATGCAGCCTTCTCTCAGGACTTCTGTGATGACAAGAATACCCATTTGTATATTCCTTTTAAACAGGTCTGTCCCTCATCTGCTTCAAAGCAATACATCATTCCTCCCCTCCTTTTCTGTCTTCCCTCAACCCTGATGTCCTTCCTGTTTTATAACAGTGACCCCATGCAATATTTGTCCTTTTGTGACTGAGATATTTCACTCAGCATAATGTCCTCCAGGGTCACCCACTTTGAATAATATTTCATGAGTTCCTTTTTTTCAATGCTGCATAGTATTCCATTGTGTGAATATACCACAGCTTCTTTATCCATTCATTCGTTGATGGGCACTTGGGTTGTTTCCAGCTCTTTGCTATTATGAACAAAGCCAGGGCTACTTATTTTGGAATACCTTAACACATTACTGCCTTTTAGTTGGACTTTCATTCCTCAGGCTTGTGCTGTAATAGGACATTTCCCATTTCATCACTTCTGCTTGTCTCAAATGCTCATTCACAGCATGGCCATCAAGCCACTCAACTGTTTCCACAAGTTGATGCTGCTAGAAATTTGACTGTCTGCCAAGCTGACTGACTAGTGGGCCCTTATAAATGACAGCTTATAACTGACATGTGGCCTTTACTATCCATGCTCTAATCCCAAACAAGAACCGGTCATGTTCATTCATTTTTTTTCCCCATAAAGACACTCTTTAAAAAGTTATTTGAAGAATCTCATCCAAAGAGGGCTGCCTGTACCTTTCTCATTGTGATCTCCTTTATTGAGACAATCTAAATTTGACATCTCAGAACACCATGTCATCACAGAAAACCAGAGATGCCAGCTGGTTGAAGGAAGACTCCAGCATGATATCAAAGAAAAACCCAAGTCCTAATTCTAGTACTAACTCCTGCCCAGCTCTGGGACCGTCCATGGCCATTTAAATGGATTTCTCCAATGGAGAAGTGGGCATTATAGGTATCTTTCCTACCAACTTTTGGATAGGAGGGCATCATGATACAGGGTCCCTCAGTGAAAGTTCCCAGTCCAGTAACTGTTGTCTCCGAAGTCCTGGGTCCACGTTCACTGCTCTGCTTTTACCCAGGCCGCCTGAGCCGCTTTGGCTCTGGGAGGTATGGGAAGCACCTTCTGACTTTGCTGTGCCCTGAGAAAGCTCAGGACCTGAGACACAGCAGGTTTGAGACAACAGGACCTACTAACTCGAGACGGGAACATGAGGTGTGAAGGTTCTATGACATGATGAGGGCCGGTGAAGAGAAGGAAGGAGCAGGGGAGGTGGAGAGCCACTGAAAAGCAAGCTAATTCAGCTGTCATTTAGTCACTCAGCGGCGTGGCACGGCTGTGATCTTGCAGAAGCAGATCAACCAGCCTTCTAAGAGATTCTGTGAGTTTCAGTGACCAAGCTTTCAGCTAGCACCATTCAGAGTGTCCTACTAGGTGCTGACAGGTCTAAGTTGGGCCTGTGGGTAGGGGGATGCTTGAGCTGACAGCAGAAACAAGGAATGAGCCAAGACCAATGGCATTTCCGGGGCATTTCCTAAAAACCCCACCCTGGGGGCTGTGATGAGGTCTGAAGTGACTGAGCTATCCAGCCCCAGGGCCCAGCGAGTCCACCTGATGAGTACAGAGAAAGAAACTCAGCAGCCTGGGAGCAAGGAACCTTGAGTTCTACAACTTGCCCAGTCACCAACTTGCTTTGTGACTTGACCTTCAGTATTCCCATCTGTGAAACGGGACCACAGAGCGTTGAGGGTCCCTGAGCCCCTCTCAGCCTTGCCTTGCCACGTGTCCATATCTGTGCATCTGTTCATCTGTTTCATTCATGGGAGGCATTCATAGTAGCACTGGCTGCGTGGGCCGGGCACAGACCTGTGGTGCTGACTGTGGCAGGCTCGCTCCTCTCGCTGGGTCCTCCCACGTTGAGGGCTCTCACATAGATGGTGTAGCTCTGCCGGGGCTGCAGCTGTACCAGCGACTCGCAGGTTGGGATGCCCACAACAGACCTGTGTGAGAAAGCAGAGCTACCGTCACCCTGGGGCTGGGGTGGCCCCGGCCGCTTGATACGTGCTCCAGGCAGCTCTTCTGAAGCTGGCATTTTGAACTCACTTTGGTGCCCCTGCCTTCTGACCCACAGCAGCACAGTCAGGCCTAGCACAACTAAGAGTATTGGCCCTTCCTGAGCTTTCCCTCCTTTTTCCTTCCTTCCATGGTATTCCTGCCTGTCCCCTCACTCAGACCTCCCATCCTTCTTCCTCTGCACCCAGGCAGACCAGCCTCTTCCTCCTGTACCCAGGCATCAGTGAAGGTGTGCAGTAGAGTCCAGCGTCTACCTGTCTGTCAGGGTCGTTACCTCTCTGAAGGCAGGCCTGAAACCCATTACCTTAGTACAGCGCTAAGCCCGCACAAGCCCTCAGTCCATGTCCTGTCAACCCATTTCACAGAAAACCACTGCTGTTAATAACTTGGCCCCCTGTACCTCCTGAGGAGGAATTTGTGAAAATGGAGCAATATAGGGACAAAACTTGTTGCTGTTGATTAGATTCTGACTTGTGACCAAGTGTTACAGAGAACCACTCCACAGAGTTCTAGGGGCCTCATGCCAAGGAGCTGCACTGCCAACCTGAAGGCACGTGGCTTGAATCCACCAGCTGCTCTGGGGGGGGGGAGGGGAAGATGGGCACTTTTCTGTCATGTGACTTACTGCCTCTGAAAACCCACGGAAGGGTCAGCTTTCAGTCAGTTCTGGTTCAATGACACATAACAACAGTAACAAGTAGGGGTTTCTCGGCTGTAATTAGGGAGCTCTGGTGGCCTAGTGGTAAGAACCTGTGCTGCCGTCCCCAAAGCACTCAGTTTGAATCCACCAGTTGCTCTGCGGAGGAAAGATAGGCAATCGCCTACAGTGTGATTTACTGTCTCTGGAAACCTACCAGAGGGACAACTGTGAGTTGGTCCCAAGACAACGTCACACAACAACAACAACAACCTTAAAAGTAGTAAATCATCATATTCCCCCTCCCCTCCGTGGTATTACTGGGTGAGCTCCAATTTTTAAGGACAAGGTGCAAACTGTTTGCCCCACCAGGGTCTCTACCCAGGTACACACACTCATAACTGCCATAGACAATTGCCCACTACTCCAGGTACACGTGCAGTGATCATGCCTTTGTTTCCTCCTTGGGTTTGTCTGTTTCTCCCGCTTGACTATCAGCTCAGTGAAGACAGGGAATTTGTCCACCTCGGTGCCCAGGGCGAGCACAGGAACCCATCATGCAGGCACTTGGAACTTGTTGAATAGGTGGTAAACAGTAAGTCAGGAAAACCAGTGCTTAACTTTTTAGTCATTCAACTTCTTTCACCTTCAAGAACAACATTCTAAGCTACTTCTTGAGAAAATGAACCCCAAACTAGATCCATTACCTTATGTCAGTTCAAACTCATAAAGTCCTGGGACAGAGTCCAACTGCTCCTTAAAGTCTCCAAGGCTAATCTTTATGGAGGCAGACGGCCACATCCCTAACCCATGGAGAGGCCCATGACTGCAACGACCAACCTTTCATGAAGAGGAAGTGGCCCGGAATTCTGACCTCTGCAGACTCCATGCATGTTCTGGGTCCTTTTTATGTGTCAGACGCAAGGCCTCTGACGCCCAGCAAACAGCCCTGGTGACTCACTCAGTGACACCCGAGCCGCCCGCCGTGTCTGCTGGAGTCAGCTCCACTGTGTATGAGTCCACAGGATTCAGGTTCCCAGACTCCCAGCAAATCAACGCCGCCTCCTCGCAGCTCCTGATCTCCTGGGTTTTGATGATTGGGGGAGAAGGTGCTAAATGCAAGAGGGAAAGAGAGAGGAGTATCTCTCAGTTTCCAAGAACAAATATCACAATACCCACCTCCTCCCAACAAAGAAGGCTCAGCGCTTTAAAAAGCAAATCAGGACTGCCTTTCAGCCGCGCACATGTGGTGCCCACGGGCTGCTGTTATGGGCTGGAGAGTCGATGCTCATTCCTCCATGTCAGCCAAACCCACTGCTATGTAGTCAGTTCAGTCATATAGTGACCCTGTAACATGACAGAGTGCAGCTTTTCCAAAGGTAATCTTTATAGAAGGAACCCTGCTGGTGCAGTAACTGAACACTTGCCTGATGATAAAAAAGTTGGAGGTTCAAACCTACCACCTGCTTCATGGGGAAAAGATGTGGCAGTCTCTATAAAGATTTATAGCCTCAGATACCCCATGGGCACTTCTTTGTCCTATAGTGTTGCTATGAGTTGGAATCTGACTCCATGGCAGGGGGTGAATCTTGACAGATGTATGTGTAACCAGGAGCAGCAGCTTTGATATTTTGAGACCAGCCATGAGAAAATGGCCCTGCCAAGCCAGGTGCTATGGAATGAATTGTGTTCTTTCTTCAGAATATATTTTGGAATATTAACCTGTGTACCTGTAGATCTAATTCTGTTTGGAAATAAAGTCTCTGTTATATTAATATCAGTCTAGGCTGAGTTCTAAATCTAATTGCTTCTGAGTTATGAAAAGAGTGATTTAGACACAGAACATGTGCACAAGGGAAGGCAGATACCAAAGAGGACTGGCTTGGATGCAAGCAACGCTGGGCCTAGGCGAAAGATTTAGAGTCTGATTGGGCTTTCAATCCAGAACTGTGAGAAAATAAAATTCTGTTCTTTAAAGCCACCCCTTTGTGGGTATTTGTGTCACAGCAGCACTGGAAAACTAGGTCAATAACATGATGGTTTTGTTTTATAAAATGGAAAAGATAAACTACAATTCCTGCCCTTCCATGTGAATTTAAGAACCTTGTTGTGTTTAGAAAGGCACGACTCCTATGTCCCTGTGACAATGCCCTGTTACAAAAAATACCTGGGAGGCCACATTACCTGTCATGTACACTGCACATTCACTGGCAGGGCTGGTGCCAGCCCGGTTCTGAGCGGTGATCCAAAATTCATACTGGGTATTGGGCTCAAGGTCTGTCACTGAGTAATAGGTTTCTTTGACAGTCACTGTAAACTCTAGGGGGTAGAGGGAAAGACAAGAATTCAATCCTATAAGTAGTCAAAGTGGCTCCAAACTCATGGTGCTGAATCTCCATATAGCTTTCTAGCTGGCCACTGCCCCCTCTCCACCATGCACAAGCCTCACATGTACACCCTCACCCACCCACCCCAGCCCCTTGTGTAGCCTCCCACCCCCTTACCCCATGCATGTAGGTGTGCTACATCAAGAAGTACAGACTTTCTGGAGGTCTCTGGAGGCGGAGGCTAGTCATGTTGCTTATTTTGGCCAATGGGATGATAGCAAGTGTGATCCAAGTATAAGTGTGGAAAGTGCTGGTACCTAAGGGCTTGCCCTCTTGCTGCTGGAAACTCTTATACTTCCATGTGAACAGGGCTGTCTGGGTGAAACAACAGCGAACTGAAAGGCTGATGGCTTGAGTCTACTTAAGGCTTCTTGGAAGAAGGATCTGATGACCTCCTTCTGAAAAACCAGCCACTGAAAACCTAATGGATTGCAGGTCTGCTCTGACACCCTTCGTCCACTTGACCACAGCTAGGGCTTTTCTTCTTGTTGTTACCTCATGAACAAAGCCCAGGCAGACTTCTGTAGGGTGAGACCACGTGGAGAGAAGCCTCCACCTCAGTCATTTCAGTTGAGGCCTCAGATAGGAAGGGGTATACCAACTAGCCCATGGAGCTCAGACAGCAGAAACTACCTAGCCTACCCACAAAAGCACAAGACATAAATGCTTGCCATTTCAAGCCATAAGTTGTGTGTTGGGGCAGTATTCTGCTGTGCAGACTTGTCTGTTCTGCAGCCGAAGCTAACCAATAAGATACATCAGACCTCCCAGACTTAAAAAAGCAGTGACATTACATCGTTATACTTTCTGGTATTAGTCCCTTTAAAACAAAGTGTTCATTTAAAAGATCTTTGTAAATTGTCACAATATATCCCCCAAACAGTGGGCTGTGTGCAGAGCTGACAACAGGGTTGCTTCATGGCAAAAGCTGTGATTAATCAGGTCTAATTTCTTGGTCCCAGGCCTCTGTTAACAAAGCTCTCACCTCTGACACTGTGCTTTCTTGACTCTTTATTTTGATCACTTTCACCCTCTTTCATCAGAGCTTAAATTTACTCTGAACCCTTCTCAAGGATTCTCTGTCCTTCCTGGTCCGTGGGCACAAACTCTGCCCTCACCTTCCGCCTTTCAGCACCCTCTATTTGCCTGGCCTAAAAGCAAAGCTCTGGGTAGGAGGCCTGCAGGCCCGATACTCTCCTGGTTCTGCCATAACTCACTGTATCTCCTTGCACAGCTTGTTTCTCTCTGGGGCTCAGTTTCTTCATCCATAAAATGGAGATCTCTTATCCCTTTCCAGGAACCCAGAACAGGTCCTGCCAGGCTGTCCTGGGCCCCTGGGCTGTAGGGCCCTTCAGATGCTCAGCTGGGCTCCTCCTTCCCTTTTTAATAGCACAATGGCCTCTTCACTATTGGAGGTAGAAAGGGTTACCCAGCCCTCCCGTCACACCAGCCAGTACCATTTCCTGGGAACAGACTGCACCATGGCCAGAGGCCTCTCAGGAGGCTTGCCGTCTGGGAATATGGATCTGGTTAGCCACAGACTCTCTCTCTCTCTCTGCTTTCTCCTGTAACACAGGACCACTCTGAGAAGATGGCCTGGAACTGCTGAGAGTCACCACCAGGGAGCACCTGAGCCCAGTCAGCCCCTGCTCTTCCCTACATGCTGTGACAGTCAGATCCTCGTCCCAGGGCCAGCTCTGACACCCAGGGACCTGTAGATCTATACAGAGCCCTTAGCTTGGCATCATGGTTCTTCTCAAGCAAGCCCTAACACATCTCCCAGCCCCTCTGGTCACCTGCCTGGACTCTGTGCCCCTCTGGTCAAATGTAACTCCTTGTGATTCCCCAGTCACAACAGCTAAGGTTTGTACACAGGCCGCCTCCCTCTCTGACCAGCATCCTGGCCTGAGGCGTCTTTGAAGGGGTCACAACAGCTCTAAGGTTTGTACACAGGCCGCCTGCATCTCTGACCAGCATCCTGGCCTCAGGCGTCTGTGGAGGAGAGCATGCTCCTCACCTGCATTGTCCTCCCGGGGCGAGCCATCCCGCACCGGCCGGTAGGACAGCTGGTAGCTCTCCACAGTGTCATCGGAGTATAAGCTCCAGCAGACTCGGACTGAAGACCCTGTGGCTGAGTTTGGGGCCTGTGGGTTTATCACTGGAGCAGAAGGAACTAGAAAAGGAAAAGGGAGGGGAGAGAGGGAAACAGAAACAGAGACTCTGAAGCAGAGGTGTAGCTCTGGTGATCTAGTGGTAACCAGAAAGGCTGCCAACCCAAAGGCTCACAGTTTGAATCCACAACTGCTCTGCAGGAGAAAGACGGGCAATCCATGCAATTACAGCCTCTGAAAACCCACTGGAGGGTCAGCTATGAGTCGGTTCCAACTCTATGGCACTCAACAACAACAAAGCAGAGGTGTGGGATGGGAGCAGGACCACTCTCGTCAACACAACTGTGGTCTTTGAACACAGATGCGGTAACTCAGGGTGGACAAGGAAGTCTGCCAAAGCCTCCAACCACAAGCCTGCAAAGGGAGACCAGTCAGTACATTCTTGCCTTGACAAATCCATGAAAGCTCAGGGGGACAGGGGACAGTGACAAGGATGGTCTTTCAGTCCTGCGCCAGGCTGTAGCTCTCCTGCTCTTCCCGTGCCATCTGCAGAGGCAGCACAGTGAGTTACAAGGGGTGTTTCCCTGGGGGTGTGGCCTCTGGTATATAAATGGACGTTCTGGCAAAGCTTCCTCTCTTTCTCAACTTTGTACTTCTCCTCTTGCCTGACCTCTGGTCTTGGGATGTAAGCCTACACAAGTTTCTGGCTGGCCGCCTAAACTGCAGAATTTCAGTGGGTCAGCCCCTGCAGCCACATGAGCTAGCAGATGTTGCCAATCTGTCATCTTAACAGGGATTTGGAACTTGACAGCCCTGAACATTGTATGAGTCACTTCCTCACAATTGCACGAGCATATCTAGCAATGCTGCTCTGTTATTCATCAGGTTTTCGAAGGCCTATTATTTTGGAAGTGGGTGACCAGTTCTGCTTCTCAGTCTGCCTCAGTCTGGACGCTCCATTGAAAACTTGAAGTACTTGCTGCAGAAGATCAAAGACTACAGCCTTCTATATGGATTACATCTCAGCATCAAGAAAACAAAAATCTTCCTCACTGGACCAGTAGACAACATCATGATAGAGCAAAGATTGAAGTTGTCAATGAAATTCTTTCAGTTGGATCCACAATAAACACCTTGACTGTAGCAGCAGTCAAGAAATCACAGCTGGGGAAATCTGCATTTAGGGACCTCCCCACAGTGCTAAAGAGCAAGTGTGATATTTGACCAGAATGTATCTGTCCAAGAAAATATTCTTTATTACTTCAGGAGTTTTAAAAAGCAGATTACAAAACCCCATGATCCTATTAAACAGATAACAAACCAGCACAGATCTCATCTATTTAAAAATTGAGGCAAAGCAAAGAAATGGAAACGATATACATAATTTGTTTACAATTATATTGTCCAGTGTTGGTGAGGAAGAGAAAGTGAGTAGACCAGGAAGTCTGAATTCTAGAATTATTCTAAGAAGTAAGTGAAGCAATATTTTAGTGAGCTACCAATGTTAACAACGACAACATAGAGAGAGCTATGTTGGCCTAGTGGACAGAAAGTTATGCTACCAAGGCCAAGGTGGGTGATTTTAATCTGTGGCCCTCAGGCCTGGTTTAAATTGTTTTTTGTCAAACAAGCTTCTAAGTGGTATAGCACTGGTCTGTGCATTGCTCTACAGGGGTAACTCGTGGTTGCTATGATGCTGAACACTATGACACTGATGTGTCAAATGCGGTAATGGTTACCCATGGTAGAGAGTGTTTGGTGGAGCTCCCTGATTAAAACAAGCTTGGAAGCAGGAGTAGCATCCATTTCCAAAATAGCTTGCCTCCAGAAATTCTATGAGTGCTCAGGCCTTTCATTCATAGGGTCGCTATGAGTCGTCTATAACCCAACGGCACCTAACAACAACAACAACTTATGACCAATACTATCTAAAGGAAATAAAATTTAAAAAAAATACTATTGAGTATGTACAAGCATGGAGTCCCTGGGTGAAACATGCTCCATTTCTAACCAAAAGGTTGAAGGTTTGAGTCCACACACAGGTGCCTCTGTGTATAGCAGTCCCTGAAAACTATGGAGCCTAGTTCACATATACGGAGCCACCATGGGTCAGATGTAAGATGCATACCAGGGATGGTGTTAATGGAATCCATCAGCTGCTCCACATCCGAGAAGTCCAAGGTCTGGTCTTCAAAGTCAGGCTGGGCAGAAAGTTCCACGTCTGTTTTTGTTTTGAGAAATTTCCCAAGTCTGTTGGTATAAAAAGACACATTGATGGGAATGGATGGACCTTCACCTTAGGGCATATCTATGGGGCTGGATCACTAGCAATACAACAAGGGAGCCACTTTGCTGAACTTTTCTTTACATTATTGTGTTGTTGGCTGCCTTCTGCCATCTGCTTTGGCGCCTGACGTAGAGGGGCGTCACTGGGGATGCGTGGGGTCAGTGTGGGCTTTTGAGAGAAGAGCAGAGGGTGTTTCAGGGGATCCACCCACGAGGTCCAGATCCACACACCCTGGAAGGCATCTAAAGGTTTAGCTTTCTGGGGCTTCTCTTCTGTATGGCCAAGCACCCTCAAATTGTTAACTGTAGGGCAGGGCTTTGGGTCTCCTTGAACTTGCTCCCCAGCCGTCAGAGGGTTTGCAAGTGGCAGAGACATTGGAATTCAGGTCTGTCTTTTGCCAAAACCCATCACTTAACCCTTGTATGTTAATACAACCTTACCACATTCATGCTGCTTTACCAACATTGTCTTATTTACTAATCACAAGTCTGCCTTCGGGAACCACTCCAGAGTACTGAGGAGCAATGATGTCAGTCTGGAGACTAAGGTATACCTGATACAGGCCGTGGTCTTTGCAATTACTTGCTATGCATCAGAAAGCTGGACAATGACTAGGGATGATAGAAGAAGAATTGAAGCCTTTGAGCTGTGATGCTGGAGACGAGTATTAAATATACCACTGACTGCTAGGAAAACAAACAAGTTCATCCTAGAGGACCAGGCTACTCCTTGGAGACAAGGATTTTGAAGCTTCATCTGACATACTTTGGACATGTTGCAAGAAGGGACCAGTCATGGATAGGGGCATCATGCTTGGAAGGGTAGAGGGACAGTATAAGACAGGAAGACTCTCAATGAGATTAATTGATTCCGTTACTGGGGTAAAGTGGGTAGCTGTGTCAGAGACAATAAGGTTGGCTCAAGATAGAGCAGGATTCAGAGCTGTTGTACATGGGGTCACTATGAGTTGCAAGTAACTCGATGGCACATAATAACAACGATACTACCTTGTTTGGAGATCAGGGCCTGGTACTGAGTTGCATTTGGTCCTAAGGTGACTTGACAAAGATTATAAAGGATAATAAGAGTTGAATCTCGTCTAACTGACTGAAAATGTACTCTTTCTGTAACCTCATGGTCTAGGTCTTGGCTGAAAGTGAGATGCTGGGGAATCACAAGAAGCCCTAGAGGTATAGTGGCTAAAGTGCATGGCCGATATCCTCAGGTTCAGCAGTTCAAACCCACTGTCTGCTCCACAAGAGAAACCTGAGGCTATTTGCTCTTGTGATGATGTATGCTCTACGGGGAAGTTGTAGTCCGTCCTAGGTCACTCTGAGTCAGAGTTGCTCCTACAGCAGTGGCCCTAGTCCGTCACTCACAGTCTCCCCATGTCCAGTTTCCTCTTGAGTAAAACAAGGAGACTGTGGAGGGCATTTAACCACAGCCTTGCTGGCTGGACCTCACCACACACACATTCCCTTCTAGTCACAAGATTCTAACTTGGAGATTAGAGGATCCCTGTGACACCACTGCCCACTTAGGAGGCCTCCATTCCAAAGCCAGCTTAGACTCAGGCACACAAAAAAGTTCAAATTATAATAATATTTCAAACTCAAAGGCATTGCTGTCAAGTTGGAACCGTGTTTCTGAGCGTATAGTAAATCACACAGGAGGATACTGCTCATCTTTCTCCCATGGAGCTGATGCTGGATTCAAACTACCTGAGAGGCCTGGCCTTTGGGTTAACAGTGCAATTCCCTATGGATGACTCTAACAAAGTGGACAGAAACAAGAAAGTACACGTCAGAACAAAAGTATTACCTGTCAGCCATAACCACTGCATCCTAGAGAGAGAAAAGGAGAACAGGATGAATTGCTTTGGAAAAGAAATTTCTTCTTCAAATTGAATATGAGTATTAGGACAGTTTGGAAAATTTCTTTAACTGGGGAATAGAAAAAAAGGAAATCAGCCAGAAAAATTCAGTTATATCTCACTATCATTTTCTCCCAGTTAATGTTGTCACACACACTTGCAGCCACATGATTTATATAACCTTTGCTTTTCTTTTTTCCCTGTCAACATTCTGTAAGCATTTCCCACATTGCAAATGGTCTTCTGGACCATCCGTATGAACGATTGCTTAACAGTGCATTGAATGGAAACCCGGTTACTCACTTAACTGTTTCCTTATTGCTGGACATTCTGCTTGTTCTCATTCCCCCATCAGTGATGGTGAGTAGAACACACTTATGTGTATTGTTTTTTCCTCATTCTGCATGATGCCTTTGATTTACAGTGGTAGCATGCTTCAAAAGGCATTTACAGGGCCACAGTTCTTTCCCACTTTGGTTAAACATGGAAGTAGAGACTTCGGGGTTTTGAGGAGTAGTTATGGCTGTGGAAAATGAGGAACTGCACTTGGCTGCCCCAAAGATATTGAGGTTCCTCCCCTATATCTTTACATCGCCGTTGCTCTCATATTCCTGTAGGTTCTTGTAAAGGAAAGGACCTCAGCTCAGGCTGCATAGGGGCTGGGGATCAGTTTAATCTGATTTCGAGAAAAAGAATACACTTTTTCATTTTCAATTTATAATGTTAGACTTATATGTAACCAACAGGCAGGGGTAATTCAATGAAAGAATTCTCCTGTTAGTGCTGGACCCCAGAGTTTGCGTGCCAGCCAGTGCACCTCTAGTGCAGTCTCCACCCATCTGTCAGTAGAAGCTTGTATGTGACTGGACTAAGAAAGACTAGGAAGAAAGGCCTGGTCATACACATTGGAAAACCAGTCAATAAAACCCCCATGGATCACAGGGGCCTGATACCATTGTATATGGTGCTGCCATGATAGGGGCTGACTTCATGGTAACTAAGCACAGCCACACTATGAACACCTGTGAACTATGGGAAGTGAAAGCAAAGGGGCTGCCTAGTAGGGGAGAAGATGTGAGGTGCCTTTTTGCCTGGACAGCTTTCTCCCCAAAGTTCCAAGGGGTCACCTGAGGTGCACTGGCTTTGCTCAGCTCTGGGATGAGGGGACAGGTCTGTGAGTAACTAGGTCAGAAATGCAAAGGCTCTGCTGTTACTGCGGCAATGGCAGGAAGAAGAGGCAGCAGCTTGTGAGCCTTCTCTGCCCTTCACGGTGGGGGTTTGCAGAGCGAGGGAAGTGGCCACCTCAAGCATGAACATCGAAAGGAAACCTCACACAGATCTGTCTTGGGAGAAGAGCAATGAGGGGTGTTTGTAGTGGGAAGGATAGTGAAAATGTTGTCCCACAAATGTTGGGCATGTTGTCAGGAAGGGCCCATCCTTGGGAAAAGACAGCATGCTGGGAAATCTAAAGGGTCCTGGCAAGAGAGGAAGACTCTCAGTGAGATGGAGTGACACAGTGACTGGAACCATGGGCTGAACATGATGGAGATGGTGAGCATGGCACAGCCCAGGGCTCAGATCTGATGTTCACAGGGTCACTGTGAGTCAGAGTTGATGTGATGGCACTTAACAACCACCACCTCAACCTCAACTCTGACACCTCCAGGTGGAACGAGGACGACTTAACCAACCCGCCCCAGCCACGACTGCCATTTCAGCTCATGATTTCACTTCTTTCTTTGCATTCCATTGTTGTTCTGTGCCGAGTCTCCCTGCCCTTTCCTGAGCCAATCTCACTGTATTCAACACACCTACCCCTTTTACCTCAGTTACTCTGTCTATCCATCTCATCTGGGGTCTTCCTCTCCTGCGCTATCCCTCCACCCTTCCAAGCATGATGCCCTTCTCCAAGGACTGGTCCCTCCTGGCCATGTGCCCAGAGTCTGTGAGATGGAGCTTCAAATCCTATCCTCCAAGGAGAAACTTGTTTTTACCCTCTGCAGGACAGACCTGCTTGTTCTCTTGGCAGTCCGTGGTACGTTCTGACCTACCCCTGGCCCAATTGTGTTTCATGCATGTACATTGTGTTCATTCATGCACATTGTGTTTCATTCGTGTACTTTGTGTTTTACACACTCGTTTATACACAGTTTTCATGCGTCATGCTGACACTGTGTTACCAACCTTGATGAAATCCACCTTCTCCTCATGACATATCTCCTCTATCGTTTCCATCAGTTCTTTACAGGTTTCAAGGTTTTCTCCACAGCTGACCAGCTGTCCATACAAGGCTTCCAGCTTCTCTTTCTTTTTCTCCCCGAGAGCTTGTATTTTTTCCTCATATTTTTGAGCAAGCGTTTCCAAGATCTCATTGTAATGTGATTCAAAGTTTTGTTCTTGTCGCCCAAAATTCTCCTGAAAGACAGTTGACCTCAGTCATAATTTCTGTGCACGTGGTGTGTGTTGTTGTTGTGTCGGAATTGACTCAGAGCTGACCCTCCAGCAGGTTTTCAGAGGCAGTAAATCACATGAGAAGAGACTGCCCATCTTTCTACCTCAGAGCAGTTGGGGGGGTTGAATCATGTGCCTTTGTTAGGCAGTACGACTCCTTGCCACCAAACCTGCAGCGCTCCCTCGACAGTTATTAGTGCCTTGGTAATCCATCTACCCAGGGCTGCTTTAGTCCCTCAGCCTTGTTTGACCACCTCTCTCCGGGATGCTGGTGCAGACACTAGGGCTGCTTGGAGCATAGGCCTCTTTAGTTAGTACTAGGGCAGTAATCTTAGCAAGAAGCACTGCTTTCTCTGAGCAGCATCTGGCAGGTCTCTCCTGTGGTAACCACTTCCTATCAACATGACCACAGTTCAGGGAGATCTCGGTGAAGAGCCAGCCTGTTATTGGAACTCAGGACCTCAACCCAGAGATGCCTGTCTGATCTTTTCCTTGTGAGAGCCCAACATCTCGTGTTAACCACCCCACTCCCTGATGCAAGGATTATACAAACCCCAGGATCACACAAGTACTTGTCACCTAGATGGAGGCAAAAGACTCTACCTAACAGATGAGAAAAAACACAAAGAAAGAGGGAGTGTGTGACTATGCTTAATCCTGGAGCGCAAGGGGTGAGAAACATTAGAGCGTGTTAAATCTTCGCCTCTGTTACTCATATTGGAAGCCCAGGAGAGCTCAGCAGGTTCTAATTGAAATCACTATTAGATGACAAGGATATTTGTAAAAAAGAGGCTTGCAACAATCATTCAGGGAGCATTTACTGAAGACCTTGGTATGCATTGGACTGGATAGACTGGTGGGAAAGAAGGAAAAGTAATAGATGAAATGAAAGGATGGCCTTAGACTTCTTCCTTGAGGGTAAAGATACTTGGCTCTGACCTGTGATCTGACAGGTCAAAGTGTAAAGAGTTTGGTCCATGGGAGAGAAAGAGTCTGTGCCTGTCACCTCCCATTTAATATTGTAGGTGAAGAAAGTTTAGCTTCCCAGAAGATTTTCTGGAGCCTTAGTTTACCTATACGAGGTGCTTCTGCTGGGCCTACACACATGAATGGAAGTGGAGAATCACATGGGGAGTGGAGAAGGCGCCTCAAGTCCTCAGCCCTCCTCTACCTCATCTGGAAGGCTGGACTGAATTCTGGCATCACTGTGGCATGACAGATCATGAAACCATGAGGGGTTTGTTGACAGGCACAGAAACTTGTTATTTTTATGAAAAATAGCTAACACTTATTAAAGATGAGTGACTTACAGTATCTTCTCCAGGGTGGTCCATGAAATACCTTATCCAAGCTCATTCTGTGTAAGTCTAGGGACCCAATAGTGTCCAGTGGGCAGAAGTTACAGAACAGCAGTAGTCAAGAGTTTGAAATTTTGTCCTTTGACTCAGGAGTCCACATTCTTCCCGGTGGCAAGGGTAGAGTGGAAAGGGGCCTTTAAAAGATAGAATTCTCAACCTAGATTCCTAAAATCATTACTGACTTTTCAGGGAAAGACTGAGAATTCCTAAATAGGCAAACATCCACCCACAGTTAACAAATGTCTGTGCTGAAGTGTCAGTGATGTGCAAAGGTAGGTACAGTGCCTAATCAAACAACCGAGGACTACGTGACAAGACCACACAAGATTTCAGGTAGGCGGTATTACAATCACCTCCAAAGTCCTAGAGTGAGAGCAGAGAAACAGCATGGGACCCCACCATCCCCAGCTACACAGGAGGAGCACTCGGGGTTTTACTGGGTGAGTGAACTATTAGTGCGTGTACACACATACACACACACAAATGGGACAAAAGAAAGCTGTTCATTTCTTTACTACCTGAGTGCAAGTGAAGGGTTTCTGTTTGATAATGTTGTTGTTGTTGTTGTTATGTGCCGTCGAGTTGCCTGCGACTTATAGCAACCATATGTACTACAGCCCTAGACCCTGTCCTATCCTGTGCCAATCTCACCATCTCCGACACACCTACCTTATTACCCCAGTCACCGAATCAATCCATCTCATCAAAACCCTCTGTTTGATAATGCCATCCTTAAAATTATCTTTTTAGAATAGGCATCTGAGCCATACACATACAGTTGGAGATTCTGATATGAGGGGCCTGAGGAGAAAGAAGAGCCAATGAAGGAGGATTGTGATGGGAAATATTCTGTTATTTATTCAACAAGCATATAAAATAGCTATCCTGAAATATACCTTCTAGGGACACAGAAGGCCCAGGCCTCTGAGAACTTACTAAGCAATAGGGAGTGTGAACAGCTCATGTTGTCCGTGAGCTCTCTGCCCAGCGTGTCACAGGACGGAAGAAGGGATGAGGGTAGGGGCAGACAGGAAAGGCTCCCCATCAGTGACACTCACGTTCTAAGAGAGACTCTCTAAACTGTAGCAAATAAGTTGTGGTGGTGGTGCAGTGACTAAGTACCTTACTGCTAACTGAAAGATGAGCAGTTCAAACCCACCCAGTGACTCTGTAAGAGATATTTCATGGGCTCTGCTTCCATAAAGATTATAGGAGAGCCCGATGGGACAGCCGGCCTCAGTAAAATGAGACAGGTCACTAAAGAGTGAGAAAAGGACTGGACAGCATCTCACAACAACAGCAGCGTGTGTGAACCGTGGCTGCTGGCTCAGTCACTGGAGTCACGTTTCACCTGTGTGAAAGGCGGCTCAGCGTGTTCTTACCTCCACGGTGATGAACACCTCCTCCAGATGACTTGCAAAGTTCTCCATCTCGATAATCTGCTTTTCCAACTTGAACATGTTTTTGTGGATTTCATCCTGTCAAATAGAGAATCACAAGAAGACTGGAATGCAATCTTTTCTCTTTTTTTGACTTTGTGGATCACAACAAACTGTGGCTGACTCTTAAGAAGAATGGGAATCCCAGGACACTTGATTGTGCTTATGCAAAACCTATAGTTAGACCAGGAGATAGTCATCAGAACAGAGCAAGGAAACACTGCATGGTTCAAAATTGGGAAGGGTGTACGCCAGGGATGTGTCCTATCTCCATACCTTTTCAACCTATATGCAGAACAGATTATCCGGGAGGCTGGGCTCTATGAGGAGAAATGTGGTGTTGGGATGGGTGGAAGATTCATTTAACAATTTTTGTTATGCAGATGACACAACCCTGCTTGCTGAAACTGAGGAGGCCCTGAAGTGCTTACTGCAGAAGGTCAAGGACCGTGGCCTTCAATATGGATTGAGGCTCAACATCAAGAAGACAAAGATTCTCACCACTGGACCAATTGGCAGCATCAGGATGTATGGTGACGAGATTGAGATTGTTAACAGCTTTAGTTTGCTTGGCACTTGCTGACAGGAAATTAAAAGACATATTGTGATGGTCTGCTATTAAGAACCTCTCCAAAGTACTGAAGAGCAGTGGTGTCTCTCTGGAGACTAAGGTGCACCTGATACAAGCCATGGTCTTTGCAATCACTTGCTATGCATCAGAGAGCTGGACAATGACTAGGGAGGATAGAAAGAATTGATGACTTTGAGCTGTGGTGCTGGAGAAGAGTATTAAATATACAATGGATTGCTAAGAAAACGAACAAGTTCATCTTGGAAAGGGTTAAACCAGGCTGTTGTTCCTTGGAGGCAAGGATTCTGGGGCTTCATCTGACATACTTTGGTCATATTGTAAGGAGGGACCGGTCCTTGGAGAGGGACATCATGCTTGGGAGGGTGGAGAGCAGGCGCAGGAGGGGAAGACCTTCTATAAGGTGGATTGATTCAGTGACTGGGGTAATCGGGAAGGGTGTGTTGGAGACAGATTGGCACAGGACAGAGCAGAGTTAGGGTTGTTGTACATAGGGTCTCTATGAGTCGCAAGCGACTCGGTGGCACATAACAACAACAACAACAACAGAAAGTATGTTAGATTTGCCCCGTGACTACACACTTGAGATAGAAATGTATCCTCTAGAGAAAGATCGAAGGAGTGCTGCTAACCTTGGCGCTTTCCAGGGCTTTACTGAGTGGGGTCATCTCATGATCCTTGTGTGCATCCAGAACATTCTCAGAAGCTCTGACTGGAGTTTTGCAAGTGACACAAAAGATGTCGGGAGCTTCTTCCTCATCGTCCTCCTCCGGGATGACATAGCATTCGTACTCCTCGCTGGACCGGCCACGTGTGTACCTGTAGGCTTCCCGCAAATCCTGGCACTGACCTCTCGAGCCCCACCCTCCATAGCTCAAGTCTTCGGCCTCGGCCATGTCGCCACCAAATCGCCATTCCCTCTGCTCCCTGGCCAGCTCCTTCCTCTTCATCGAATAAGGAGGGTACTCCAAAAACCCCCTCCTGAGTGTGTCCTCACCAACAAACTCATCTCCTAACTCCTGAGCATCTTCGAGTCCGTAGAAATGGGCAAGTTCATCCACCCCCTCTGGCAGGTCTATCTGAGCCTGGCCTTCTACTGCTGATCTTGACTCCTGGCTCATTCCAACTGCAACCACTTCTCTTCTCAGCCGAGTGTTTTCTTCTGGGAAGATCTGCACCCTGTCTTCAGAGTCGTAGAGGTCCATGTGATAGAAGAGGAAGTCCCTGGGAGCAGAAGGCCGATCCAGCCCAGCTTCCTCTCCGCTTTCCTCCTCCATCGCAGCCCCAGGAGCGCTGGGCTGGGCCTTGACACAAGAGGGAGCCTCCTGGACAGTAACAGCGACTATCCTGGGTCCTAGGATACAAAAGAGGAAGCAAAATCAGCTTCTGCAGTCACTGAGTGGGCTGGTCAATACACCGAGCTCCACTCCTTCACAACATCGCAGTATCGTGTGAGCCGCTCAGCTGTGGTTTCACATCAAGCTTTACGCAAAGCCAGGATTCTGTCTGACAAAAGGAGGGACTAAGCTTTAAAAAAAAAATCTTTAAAGAAGAAATATCCTTAGATCTGACTAACAGAAGATTCTTCTATGTAAACATTAGTAAAGGAGTAAAACAACGGGAAGACTTGTAGACAACTATTAAATAAATTATATAAATAAATAGAAAAAGACCTCAAGAGAGTTAACATACAAAACAGTTTGTGAAATTGTGACCTTTTGTGTATAATATTAATGGTAAGGAGGCCCAGTATACGACAATTAAGGAGCTCTTAATGGCACTTAGCAACAACAGCAGCATGGAGAGAGATCAGTAGGCCTAGTGGACAGAAGTGGGTGACTAATCTGTGGTCCTCAGGCCTGTTTTTAATTGTTTTTGGTGAAACTTTCTTCTAGGTTGTATAGCCCTGGTCTGTCCACTTGCTGTAGAAAGGTAACTCGTGGTTGCTGTGAAGCTGAACACTGTGACACTGATGTGTCAGATGCAGAATGGTTACCCATGGTGGACAGTGTTTGGTGGCGCTACCCCATTAAAACAAGCTTGGAAGCAAGAGTGGCATCCACTTCCAAAATAGCTTGCCTCCGGAAACCCTAGGAACCTGGAGAAAGGATAAAAGGTATACAAGTGTCCAGGTCTTTTGTTCATAGGGTCGCTATGAGCTGCCTACAACTCGATGGCACTTAACAACTCGCCCAGTGTTAAGAATCCGGGCTGCAATCCCAAAGGCACAAGGTTCGGATCCACCAACTGCTCCATGGGAGAAGGATGGGCAGTCTCCATCTGTGTGATTACTGCCTCTGAAAACCTGCTGGAGGGTCAGCTCTGGGTCAGTTCCGACTTAGGGACACACAACAACAATAACAACAAAGGTTAGAACTCACACCATGGTTCCACTTATGGTTAGGTGTCAATAGCGACCAATGAGCAGTAGATGGAAACCTTAGCCTGACCTGCAGCACCCTCCACACAGTGACACTCCATCTCTCTGAGGGTTTTCCTATTATCTTCATTTTATCAGATGAGGAAACTGGGACTCAGTGAGGAACCTTGGTACAAGGTCACACGACTAGCAAGTGGCTGAACTGGGATCGGTCCTCAGCCCAGCATCCAGCTGCAGGGAGCACAGCTGGCCAGGGATTTACGCTGCTTTCATTGCCACATTTGCTGCAGAATGTGCTTCCCACAGGCTCCTTCTGTCCAGTGACAAAGGACAGCAGGCGCATTTTTGGTTGACACCAAACTCCTCTGATGTCTACTTTTGCCTGGAAAGGTACCTGCAACCTGCTTAAAGCTCTCATAAACCCCACAGCAGTCCAGGATACTCTGCCCAGCCTTTCACCTCTTTCCTGCACTCAGTGCCACACTTACACTGTGGTCTGACAGCCCTCTCAGCCTTCCTCATTTCTGTTTTCTCCTCAACAGGTATTTCCCCTAACACACACACACACACACACACACACACACACACACACACACACCCAGCTCAGGTCTGCTTCTTGAAGGACTTAGGTTAACACTCTTATTAAACTCCAAAGTCCTTATTTTCTTCCTAGCACAGAGCTGCCACTATCTTTAAGCAATTATTTTTTCCAAACAACTTTATTGAGATATATTTTTAAATTATTATTACATATAATATATATTTAATGATATATATTCTTGATAATAGCATGCTGTTGTTGTTTTGTGCAATTGAGTTGTCTATGACTCATAGTGACCCTATGTATAACAGCCCTAAACCCTGCTCTATCCTGTGCCAATTTTATTGTCTCTGACACACCTACCCCCATAACCCCAGTCACTGAATCAATCCATCTCATCAAGGGTCTTTCTCTTCTGTACTGTTCCTCCACCCTCCCAAGCATGACATCCCTCTCCAAGGACTGGTCCCTCCTCAGAACATGTCTGAAGTATGTCAGACAAAGCTTCAGAATCCTTGCCTCAAAGGAGCAGCCTAGTCTAACCCTCTCCAGGTCAAACTTGTTTGTTCTCTTTGCAGTTCATTGTATATTCAAAACTCTTCTCAACACCATAGCTCAAAGGCATCAATTATCATCCCTAGTCATTGTTCAGCTCTGTGATGCATAGGGAGTGCTTGTAAAGACCATAGCCTGTATCAGGTGCACCATAGTTTCCAGAGTGACACCGTTGCTCTACAGTACTTTGGAGAGGTCTCTGACAACTGACTTTCCCAACTCTTTTATGTTTTTTAATTTCCTGGCTGCTAGTGCCAAGAGTGTTGATTGTGGAGCCAAGCAAACTAAAGCTGTTAGCAATCTTAATCTCTTCACCATCCCTCATGATGTTGCCAGTTGTCCCAGTGGTGAGAATCTTTGTTTTCTTGATGTTGAGCCTCAATCTGTATTGAAGGCTGCAGTCCTTGAGCTTCTGCAGCAAGCGATTCAGTTCCTCCTCAGTTTTAGCAAGCAGGGTTGTGTATCTGCATAACGAAGATTGTTGATGAATCTTCCTTCAATCCTGATGACACTCTTCTCCTCATACAGCCCAGCTTCCCAGATAATCTGTTCTGCACATAGATTGACAAGATATGGAGATAGGACACATCTTTGATGCACATCCCTCCCAATTTTGAACCATGTAGAGTTCCTTTGCTCTGTTCTTATGACTGCCTCCTGGTCCAAGTATAGGTTTCACATAAGCATAATCAAGTGTTCTGGAATTCCCATTTTTCTCAGAGTTAGCCACAGTTTGTTGTCCACACAGTAAAACGCCTTTTCATAGTCAATAAAACACAGATAGACATTCCTCTGGTACCAGATCCATCTAACATTAGCTACAATATCCATAGTACCACAACCCCTTCTAAACCCAGCCTGGACTTCAAGCAGTTCTTTGTTGTTGTGCTGTTACCACCACCAGTCATTTTTTGATAATCTGCAACAGAATCTTGCTTGTATGTGATATTAATGATATTGTTTGATAATTTCTGCACTCTGTCAGGTCATCTTTCTTTGGAACAGGAACAAATATAGATCTCTTCCAATCAGTTGGCCAGGTGATTGTCCTCCAGATTTCTTGGCACAACTTGGTGAGTACATCTAGGGCAGCATCTGTTTGTTGCAATATATTAATTGGTATACCATCAATTCCTGGGTCCTTATTTTTTGCCAGTTCTTTCAGAGCAGCTTGAACAACTTCCTTCATCACCACAAGCTCTTGCTTATACATTGTTTCATGAAATTCTTCTGTGTCTGCCAATTCCTTTTGGTACAATGACTCTGTATACTTTTTCCATCTTCTTTAAATACTTCTTGCATTATTTAATATTTTTCCCAAAGCATCCTTCAGTATTGCAATTTGAGGCTTCAATTGTTCTTTAGTTCCTTGAGCTTAGGAAATGCTGAGCAAGTTCAGCCCCTTTGATTTTCTGACTCCAGTTCTTTTCACATTTCATTATAAGACTTTACTTTGTCTTCCTGCACTGTCCTTTGAAATCTTCTGTTCAACTCCTTAATATTTTGATTTCTTCCATTTGCTATGGCTTCTCGGTGTTCTAGTGCAATATTCAGAGTCTCTTCTGACATCCATTTTGGTCTTTTCTTCCTCCTCTGTATTTTTAATGACCTTTTGCATTCTTCCTGGATGATATTCTTGATATCCTCCCCTAGCTCATCTGGTCTTCACTCACTAATGTTCAAAGCCTCAAAAAAAAAAAAAAAGCCTCTAACCTATTCCTGAGATGGTTTTGAAATTCAGGTCGGACAGACTCAAGGTCATATTTTGGTTCCTGTGGATTCGATTTAATTTTCCTTAGCTTCAGCTTGGACTTGCATATGAGTAGTTGGTGGTCTGATCCACAATCAGCACCTGACCTAGTTTTCACAGCTGATATTGAGCTTCTCCAGTGGTTCTTTAATAGCATAATTATATATAATTAATATAGTATAATATATAATCCTTAATTATTATCATACATATTTATTGAGCTATTGAGGGAGCTCTGGGGACCTTGTGGCAAGAAGCTATGCTGCAATCCCAAAAGAACATGGTTCTAAACCACCAGCTGCTCCATGGAAGAAGGATGGACAATCTCTTCCCATAAGATTAACTGCCTCTGAAAATCTACCAGAGGGTCAGCTATGAGTCAGTTCCAACTGTACAGTAAACAGCAACATTGATATATAATTCACGTACCATACAGTTCCTTCATTTAAAGTGTGTAATTAATTCAATAGGTTTTAGTCTATTAACAGCTATGTATATTCAGTATATTAACAGCCAGTTTTAATATTTTTTATCACATCAAAAAGATGTGCCCTCTAGCTGTTATTCTCCAGCCCTCATCCTCAGCTCTTGGCAACACATTTGGGCTTCTATAAATTTTAGACACTTTTAATCAATGGAATCATATAATATGTGGCCTCTTGTAACTGACTTCTCTTTTTTATTGTGATTTGAGTGAAAGTTTACAAAGCCAATTGGATTTTTCTTTTAGCCATTCATACACACTTTGTTTTATAACATTAATTACAATATCCACAACAAAGCCGCACTAGTCCCACTTCCTCCCTTCCTGCCTTCAGGGCTTTATCCTTGGCCAAATGCTGCTAGTCTGACCATGATATGATTGGATGTTTAGTACCTTATAGGCCTGTCTATTGTTTAGCTGAAAGTTTAGCCACAAATGTGAGCTTTGCTGTAGGATGGAAGGGTGACTAAGGATTGTAGTCTTGGGGTCCCACCAGCCTCTCTAAGACAAGTAAACCTGGATTTTTTTAATGTTTGTTTTGTTTTGTTTTTCATTTGACTGGTTTCG